TTAGGCAATGGTATATCTATAAGTCGCTTGAAGATGAATACTAAGACTGAGACAATGTGGCTTTTCCTGCAGTATTTTTGGTTGCTCTACAATATATCATAGCCTGCTACTAGCTGGTTAGTAAAGGTGTCTTTGTCTTGCTTTTTTTTTTGGGGGGGGGGTAAGTGTTTTACGGCGCTTGCAACTGCATGAGGTCATATGAGCGTGCGGGACACATTTGACATCTTTAGTTGGTAGGACATATTGAATTTTGCCCGGGTGGCGGCCGAAGCCTACTCTTATCGATTTTGGACCACCAAGGGATCTTTAACATGTGCAACTTACACACGGAACAGCCGAGATTTTTCGCCCTTGTCCGAGAACTCTAGGTGTAGATCTGTCCTACCATAAGATCAGGGGTGTGGCTGAAAGATAGAAGTAAGAAAGAGCAAAGAGTAGCAGTAGAAAGGCTGCAGAAAGATCCAGGGGCCCAGAGGAGGGGGCAAAGGGGGTGAAGGGGTGGGGGCAGAAAGTGGAGACAAAAGTAGACGACAGAACAGTGTTAGAGAACAGGAAAGGATGTGAAAGGAAAAAATGTCAGAAAATAAAATTTTCCGTCGCTTTCCGGATTCGAACCCATGACCTGTTGAATGAGAGGCGATACCTTAACCTCTAGACCACTAGAGACCCCTGTTTCCATAGCTAACTTTTAATGCATCCTTCAAAACCACTGCATTTTGAAAAAGAACACGCAAAAAATAGAAGAAAAAAAACAACAACAAAAAGCCCCTTCATCCCCAACTGCCTCTCCCCCAATCAAACAAACAAAATACAAACAAAAAACAATGACAAAAGCCCCCAAAACAACAATTCCACCTTCCCCCAAATAAACAAGCAAACAAAAAAAACCCGACCCCGAAACAAACGAAGAAAAGAACCCTATCCAAAATGAATTCTACAATCTAACCCAGCTAAAAGCAAAAACAAACGAACAGCAAACATCTTCTAAAGACCAGAAGTAAGGCATAAGGACAAAACCACGATTCTAAATCTGCTGAGACTATAAATATTGTTTTAGTTAAGAGAATGCTGATTCAACGTAATCCGTCAACGTCACCTAAGTTCGTACATATAAACATCGTTATGAACGATCTCTGAAGCCACCAACGACATTATAGAGACGTCAAGTTTGTCTCCATAACTGAAAGCAAAGTATGTACAAGTAGGTGTTTCTTTTCAGATCATTTTGGAGGCGGGCTTCCCACTCTGTTTGTCAGAGCCAAGCCAGGCTGAGAATGATACAAAATCTAAGCAGAAAGGACGTCATACTCGATAACAATTTATTATTCCCCTCATTCGGGAATCGAACTCAAGACTACTGCATGCGACAGCGAAACGGCTTACAGCTGTCCCACAAACTTTGGTGAGTTTATTGAGGATCTCGGTCAGTCTGCTGGGACACTGTGCACCTTTCGTCCTTTGTTGGTCCTGAGAGATGGGTGGGGGGAACAAGAGTTGTTCACGTGCGTGTCTCTCTGTGAGTGTGTGTGTGTGTGTATGTGTGTGTGTGT